AGAATCCTTAGGGCAGGCCTTGTTCAAGTCCTTATAGTCTACGCATATTCTAAGTTTATTTCCCTTCTTCGGGACTACCACTACGTTTGCTAGCCATTCAGGATATTTTAATTCTCGAATGGATCCTGTTTTGAGATGTTTGGTTACCTCGTCCTTGATGAAGGCATGTTTGATCTCGGACTGGGGCCTTCTTTTCTGCTTCACTAGGCGGAATTTCGGATCCAGACTCAACTTGTGAGTGGTAATTTCCGGCAGGATCCCTGTCATATCAAAGTGGGACTAGGCAAAACAATCCATATTAGCTTTAAGGAATTGGATAAGTTTTTTCCTGAGCTCGAGAGTTAATCCCGTGCCCAGGTATACCTTTCGACTAGGCATATGCTCGATTAGTATGATTTGTTCCAGCTCTTCGACCGTTGATTTTGTGGTGTCTGAATCATCGGAAATTATAAAGGATCGGGGGATCATATAGTCATCATCCTCGTAAATTTCCCGTTCCTCCGGTTGGGCCGAGGCTGGCGACTATGGTTGCTATTTGACTTCCAGCTTTCCCTTTGAATTCGATCCCTTTGCTGATGAAAGTGCCGATACATGTGTCACCTCATCGATCGCAAACATCTCCTTAGCGGCGGGTTGCTCCCCGTACACTGTTTTGACTCCCTCCGACGTCGGGAGCTTCATAACTTGGTGAAGGGTCGAAGGAACTGCCCTCATGTTATGGATCCAAGGCCTTCCGAGTAGGGCGCTGTACCTCATGCCACCCTTGATTACATGGAACTTTGTTTCTTGGATGGTCCTGACCACGTTCACTAGCAAGATAATCTCACCTTTGGTGGTTTCGCTCGCCATATTGAAGACGTTAAGTACTCGAGTTGCGGACACAATTTGATCTCGTAGGCCGAGCTGTTCTATGACCTTCGATCCAATAATATTGGCTGAGCTACCTGGATCAATCAAAACACGTTTAACTTGAATTTTATTTATAAGGAAAGATATTACCAATGCATTGTTATGAGGTCGTTTGACCCTTCCGCATCCTCATCATTGAAAGACAAAGTCTCTTTTGGTAAGTAATCCCGTGCTCACTTTTCTCTCGTGATCGTCACTTTGGTGCATTTAAACACCGGTCTTTGTGGAATATCGGCCCCTCCTACGATCATGTGAATCACGTGTTGTGGCTCTTCCTGCTCATTCTGCCTGTTTGAATCTCTGTTTTTAAAGTGATTCTTGGCTCGATCACTTAATAATTCCCGAAGGTGCCCCTCGTTGAACAATCGGGCTACTTCTTCCTTTAGTTGTCTGCAATCTTCTGTTTTATGGCCATGAGTACCATGATACTTGCATATTTGGTTAGGATTTCTCTAGGCCGGATCGGTCTGCAGAGGTCGAGGTCATCTAGTATCTTTGATACATCCAATGGCTGACACTATGGCAGAAGCATCTACGTTGAAGTTATATTCTGACAATCGAGGTGCTTCTTTAGATCTGGCATTATTATCGAAACCATTCTTGCTCATGAGCCCTTGGGAGCTCTGTCCTCGATCAATCCTTTTATCATTCCGAACGAGGTTTCGTACAAGGCCATTATCTCTCCGATCTCCATCGTATGGCTGATATCGATCTCTGTTCGACAGCGGTTCCCGATCAAAGTCCCTTTTAACTCTTTCCACGAGACTGTTAGGATAAACTGGACCGGTTGGAGCCCCCAATTGATCATCCTCGACCTTGATCTTTGACTGATACCGATTATGCACATCGGCCCAAGTGACAACTAGATACTCGATCAAATTCTGTTTTAGTTGTTGTGAAGCTACAGAACTTTGAGTATTGAGGCCTTGAGTAAAGTCTTGAACGGCCCAATCGTCGGTGACCGGTGGTAAATCCATCTGTTCCATTTGGAACCGAGGCACAAATTCCCTGAGCATCTCGTTGTCTTTTTGCCTTACCTTGAAAAGGTCTGATTTTCTTGTGGCTACCTTGATAGCTCTGGCGTGTGTCTTTACAAAAGAATCTGCAAGCATAGGGAATGAATCAATAGAATTAGGTGGTAAATTATGGTACCATATCACAGCTCCCTTCGATAGAGTTTCCCCGAACTTCTTCAGCAATACGGACTCAATCTCGTCATCTTCCAAGTTATTTCCCTTAACGGTGCACGTGTTTGAGGTAACGTGCTCGTTTGGATCTATTGTCTCGTTATATTTTGGGATCTCGGGCATACAGAACTTCTTGGGGATTAGCTTTGGAGCCTCACTCGAGGGAAAAGGTTTTTGGAATCAAGTCCTTTCAACACCGGTGGTGCCCCCAGGATTTGGTCAACCTTGAAATTATAAGTTTCCACTTTCTTATCGTTTTCCTCGATACTTTTTTCTCATGTTTTGATTCCCTTCGTCAGATCCTGAAGCATCTTTATGATAGCAGGATTGGTCTCCGGTTCTCCTCCATTCGATTTCTTTGATACCGATTCGTCTCTATGAACAATTTCTTGCAATATGGCTTGATCTCGATCTTGCTTGGTGCACGATTCTGATTCTGAAGTTGTGCTATTACAGCTTGTTGAGTCTGCAACATTTCGAATATCATTCGAAGGCTAATCCCGCCTTCTCCACCGCCCTGTGCGTTCTGATCAGTTGTTCGAGCATCTCCGCGGACGCTATTTTCAGGATCGGCGCCCAAATTCCCATTAATAGCAATATGGGAGCTGACGTCGATTGGATCCACAACCGGAGCTCCATCAGGGTTTACTGGAGGTACTCCGTTTCCTGGGGCAGCTATGTTGTCATTCTCGCCATAGAGATCGATGCCATCGTCTGTGTGTGTGGGTGCTACTTGAGAGTTTGACATGTTGATCCTGGAATCAAAGACACTTCAAATAACAAGCGTAAAATTATGTGTGTTACGAATGATTGTACCAAACAATCACTATTATCCTTAACCCCACGGTGGGTGCCAAACTGTTTTACCTTAAAATCGGATAACAATTAAACTTATAAGCGGTTTTAAGGATATGTGATTCCACTTGGCACAAACTGATAAATGTCAGAATTAATGCTAGGGATTAATTGTAAATAAAGCTAACCAATGTGATGAACAACCACGACCCTCGAGTTAGACCGCCCTCGAACCAACTAAATATGCTACTAAAAAGTATGGACTTTAACAACAGAGCTTGCAAGAGAAAATATGATATATTGCCTTGTTATGCGTGAATGTATATTGGTTACAAAATGATTAAGACCCTCTTTATATAGCAAAGGAATCCTATTTATGGTATAATTCTAATTATAGAAGTAAATCCCATGATAGGCTAAATATTCGATCCTAACTCGATATGTGCCGAGATTCCCGCCACGATCCTCGCCCGATCACGGATATCTCGGCTTTTCATTATTTGGCGTAGCAGGCCTCCTTCGATCTCGCTCAATCTCTTTCTCGCTTCGGTCTCGAATTGACCTCGATCCTGATCGGCCAGTGATCCACGAGCTTACTAATCAATCTCTGTACCATGTTCCGATATAACTGGGGCCGGACCTTGATATTCCGTCCCGATTTTAGTTAGTCGTATGAAATTAGGCAAGCCCGATTCTGACCGTATACAATTGTGACCAACATTTTAATATATTTTTTCACTATATTGATATGAGAAGAAATATATAATAGTATTATTAGTATAATTTTTGAATTTCTAAACTTTTTTTTAAATATCGAAATATAACAAATTTAGCTTCAAAATATTAGTCAAATGACTTTCAAATTAGAATGGGAGAGTTCGTATCAATTATGCGAGCAGTTGATTCACGAACAAGTTGAATCAATGACCATCACTGGTCTGTCTACAGTGAAAAATCTCTTTAAATTGATATATTAGGAGCGACCACTCAATGAATTTGGACAAAGCTTAGTCGTAACTCATCTAAATGGGAGGTAGATGGAGAGACTACAACATGTACATTATACGGAAATGTATAACTTCTAATGCGCTTATTTATTTATTTATTTATTTATTTATCTTTTCCACTTTTTAAAACAAATAACCAATATTAAAAAAACCAAATGGAGATTCACCAATAAGATTTTGGCTAGATTATATTTTGTCGTAACTTCTTTTATATACTTTATCAAGATACATTTTAGAATCAAGAAAATTATTAGTGTTGACAAATTTATGAATAAATATAAAGAAAAATAACTGAAAAGTCTATCAACAGAATTAAGGAGCAAAAAGAAAAAAAAAGAAGAGCTCGGTAACTTCGCTGCTCTCAATGTACATCTTGTTATAAATTCTGATGGTAATCTATAGTCAGATTATATTTTGGAGTTTACTTAAAATGAGCAGTCAACATTGACTCACAGAAAATCTTTTTATGGATTCTGTTAACCACGCTTTAGAAAATTACATTAATGAAAACCTTGGATAATAGCCATTTTAAACTCGTTACCTCTCTATATAAAACAATTTCATAATACCAGCAAAGTTGATATTGGCTCATATACTTCATCTCTCATACATCTAGTAAATCAAGTTAGTCCCAGGTTTAATACTTTCATTTTATGTTGATTAATTTGGTTGCTTAAACAATAGTTTTACGTAATTTTTTACTTTCATCTATATAAAAATGAAAACAAGTTGTGTACGCAGACCTTACCCCTACCCTAGGGTAGAGAGACTATTTCCGATAGACCCTCGACTCCCCACCCTCCAAGAACTCCTCACCTTGCTTTTGGAGTGACTCGAACTCACAACCTCTTGATTGGAAGTGGAGGGTGCTTACCACTAGTGCTTTCATTTTATGTATGTTAATTAATTTGGTAGCTTAAACATTAGTTTGGTATATAGATACATATACTTACACATTCCTACCTATAAAATGAATTTATGAAATCAGGCAATGTTGATGCATCAAAGATTTTTTGGACGATTTTTACTGGCGCTATATTTTCTTCTAAGTTACAATGGAATTCAAGGAGAAACAAAATTATCCCAACCAGAAGATGTAGAGATGGAGAAGCAACTTAAACTTTCGAACAAATCCGCAGTCAAAACAATTAAGGTATATCTTTGAAAATTCTTGTGCTTATAATTCTCTTGAGTGATTATTATATTTGTGTTGTAGGAATATATCTTCCATTCGTTTATCTTTGTCTGTGAAGACTTAAGGTCAACAAACTAAATTTCGGTAGATTAAATGTATTTATGTAACTATTTTTTATATATTAAAGTGCGACTGTATATTAATTAACTAGAATTTAGTAATAACCATATTTATGAATATAAATTTCATGTAGTTTTTGGGTTAATGTAAATACCGATTGTGAATAAATATTTACCTTTGAATTCAAATATGGATTAATCACGAGACAAATGGAGTATGTAATCGTTCTATCGATATCACTTTGCTAGGTGTTAAATTTTATGTATTCAAAAGTTACAAATTAAATTGCAAGATATTGTGTAACCAATATTAATTATTTATGAGTTTTTGGTTCACAGACTATATATTGTGATACATATGATTGTGTGGATTTTTATAAACAATCTTCATTTGATCATCCGTTATTGAATAATCACAGTTTTCATCCTCAGGCATGTCTCTTAACCGTCCGTCTTATATTGATCTTTCTATCAATTATACAGTATTTGTAATGCATAATTCAAGTTTTATTTTGGATGGACAGATGAAACCTATTTTATCGAGGAAAAAGCAAAATTTAGTTACATCATCAACTAATCAATCGCCGAGAATATGGTTAAATGGAAAAGGTTGTCCCTCTGGAACAGTTCCAATTAAAAGAATTACAAAAGATGATCTTATCAGACAAACACATATGCCACCGCCAGAGGATGTCACATTTGATGTTCAATTGGTTGCGGTAAGATAATGTTACACCAATTTACTACTTTAGCTAGAATAATTTACTTCCAAAAAATAGAATACATAATTCCATTTATATAGAAAGGGGAGTCTTGGCATAACTGATAAAATTATCGCCATGTGACCAGAAGATCACGAGTTCGAGTTGTGAAAAACAACTTCTTATAGCCATTTACATAGAATATAACAGGCTAAGAACTCAAATTTACAATAAGAAAAATTGAAAAGTTCGTGTATAAAGAATAAACATGTTTAATTTTTCATAATTTCGAAAATCTCATATATATATTTATTGCCTCTGCACAGGCTAATAACAATAGTGAGCCAAAAGGATACACGGTACAAACATTCATCTTCTCATTTTCTAGACTGTTGTTTGCTTTGTCTTTTAATTGAATTTTTTGTTAAATAATACGCTAAGAGACTTTTTAATTATTAAATATTTAATTACGCTTCGCAGGTTTTTCCTTTTGCNTATATATATATATATATATATTTACAGTAAATTTTATGGATAGTCATTCAACTTTGTGTTTATTACGCAAAAGTCACTTTTCTTTTTTTTTGTTACGTAAATATCATTCAACTTTGTGTTCATTATCTAAAAGTCATTTTTCTTTCTTTTATTACACAAAAATTATTTTACTTTGCTATGTTTATCACAAAAGTCACCTTGATCAGATTTTATAATATTTTTACTTGAAAAGTCCATTATGTCTTTGACATTATATGTCCTCATTTATGTAATTCCTTCTATATTGTATACAATATAATATATATTTAACTAGATATTTTACTTATAATTAAAATAACTTTAAATTATTTTATTTGCTATTTTTATTATATATCCATACATTTAATTTTTTTCACGGCACTCATTTTGTTTAATCATATTTAAACATGAACATATTTTAAATCTAAAAATCATAAAAAATATTTATTTTTTATATTTATTTGAAAAATAACAAACAAATTTGTTTAACAAATGATAGTTTTTTTTATAGTAAATAAAAATTTTGAAAAAAGTTTCAAAGATATTTGTATTTAATATTAAGATTTTTAAAAATTTATCTGTTAATATTATTTATTTAAAAGTATTAATATGATGTGTCATTGTGCTAAATATGGGTATTTTATTTATTTGATTAATGAGTATGGCTTGGCTGGTCATTAAAAATATTTCATTAAGCATGGTTAAAACCGTGGACTTGAGATTTGTTCACGGTAATATTTACTGACAAATTTAATAATGCTATTTATATATCTTGAAAATTATCATTAAGAAAAAAATTAAATGTACGAATATATTATAAAAAATAAAAATAAAAAAATATAAAGTTATTTTAATTATAAATAAAACACCCAGGTAAAAGTATATTATGTAGCATATAATATAGAAGGTATTACATAAATTGAATGATTTATAATATCAAGTAGATAATAGACTTTTCAGGAGAAAGATTTGTAAAATATGGTCAAAGTGATTATTGTAATAACTAGAGCATAGACAAATGATTTTTGTGTAACAAAAAAAAGAAAAGTAATTTTTGGGTAATGAACATAAAGTTAAATAACTTTTATGTAACAAAGAAATAAAAAATGACTTTTGGGTAATGAACACAAAGTTGAATAATCACTCATGAAATTTACTTATTTTTTGTATTGCCTCTGCACAGACTAATAACAATAGTGAGCCGAAAGGAATATACAGATCTTCACAAGGATACAAGGTACACGAATATAAACATTCATCTTCTCATTTTCTAGACTGTTGTTTGCTTTGTCTTTTAATTGAATTTTGTTTTGAAATAATACCCTAAAAGACTTTTTAATTATTAAATATTGAATTGTGCTTCGCAGGTTTTTCCGTTTGCCTTTTTTTATTTAGGTTTTACATGGCATAAAAACGGTTAAATATGCAAATTCTGCAATTTGTGTGGGCTTCCCACTGTCCGCTTCACTTGTCTTATACTAGTNATATATATTAATTTATAAAATATATATTTTTCGAATATTATTTTTAAGGCGGCTATACAATGTAGATTTTACTATTATTTACTCAAAGATAAAATAAATAAAAACAAGGGATAGTTATATTTTTGGGCCGCACCCAATATAATAATCAGCGAATGTATAAATATTGTATATTAAGTATATAATATACATCTAACACTCACACACATGGGTTACCGTTTGTAATTATTTTAGACCGTCGAAACAAATAAAAAAAGCCAAAACTAATATACATGTTAGATATACTTTTGTCATGGGTTGACAAAATTTCATTTACTACATACGGGTTGCTATAGTTCGGACTGAAAATAATCCAAATAATAAGTTTGTGGGAGCTCAAATGGCAGCTAGTATATGAAATCCTCGTGTTAAAGATCAATAACACAGTGCATGTCGATTGAAAATTCAAAAAGGATCATGATACTATACAAGTTTGTTGGAGAGTAAGTTCAACAACTTGCTGATACAAAAAATAGTTAATGCGTATTTTCTTTTAGTTGCTAAGAGAGGGGTAAGGGAAGAAATGGAATGAGGCGAAGGGATAGGAAATAACTATATTGTACTCTAGATGCAAGTTGTTAAATCACACCCACAAGGGTTGTGATGGAATGATACGTACTCTTTAATTCTTAATTAAAAGTTTCAAATTCAAGTCTTAGGTACAAAACCATCTTTATTAGAAAGCATTTTACTCCTTTACGTGACTTTTCTGTGTAAATCTAAATTAAATCCGACTCCAGTATAGTTACCGAACATCGTAGGAGAAACCCCAAAAAAAAAAATTAAATCACTTTCAGTAAGCTTCTCAATCATCACGATTTCTCTATTTCATACTACAGGTGGACCCAACATTATATGGAGATAACAAAACTAGGCTCTTTATACATTTTCAAGTAAGTAGTCTTATTTACTTTGATGATTTATATTTCAATATTGTGTAACTAATAATCTTTCTGTTTATCTAATGACCTCAATTTTTTCGTATATTTTGTAGGCGGGTAACAAACATTGTTTCAATACATTATGTCCTGGTTTTGTTCTAGTAAACACTGAGATACCTGTTGATATGGTATACGATCAAGTTTCACATCGTGGAGATAAAGCTTCATTGGAAGACACAATGTCCATCGGTCGGGTACGTTTTATTATTCTTTTAATTTTTTTCAATAGTACTCAAGAATTAGTATTTGAAATCAGCATTTTGTACTCTATGGGGACCGGGTGAGAATGCATAAATCTAGGTCTTGTAAATTATTATTGTCATGGTATTTAATTTGTATGCGGAAAAATATAAACTAAGTTTTATCTAGTTATATGTAAAGTATTTCACATGCTATAAATACTATTTTCGATATATTTACTTTCATTTTCCAATTATTTTGTTTGTATAAAAAAATTGATGTTCTCAATGTTGGGTTCAATTGCGTGTGTGCAATATGATTTGGAGTCGACACTGACTTGCATAAAAATAGAACAAAAGTTGAGGCAAAAAATGAATATAAAGGACGCCGACTTATAGAATTAGGACTTATTTGTGTTGTCACAATTCTTTTTGAAAAATAAAAAACTTTAGAATAAGGGAAGAGAAAATAAAATGATAGGACAAAAGGAATGGGTTTGAGTTTTGACGATGAGGAAACTTGACGGATTCAATCGAAACAGAAGTCCGTTCTTCATTTCTCCTAATTTGCCAACTTATACTTTCTTGTTTGGTTAAATCAGAAGTGCTATATATACATCAGCTTATACATATACTATTCTCTGGGCACGCACTTTGCGCGTGTACCCCTATCAATAAGTACATAAAATTTTAAAAATACATAAATATTACTTCATTAAACACTACATTTACGTTATACAATAAAAATTAAATAGAAAAATATAAGTTTTTGGAATTGATTAATATGATCCTATTTAGCTAACTAAATAAAGGAAGAAATTCTCAAATAACCATGCAAGAACCATAATAAGTTCATGACAATTTTAGAGCAAACTTTAAAATTCAATATAACTTTTTAGTTATATTTTCTACGTTGATAGGAGTAATCTTTTAGATGAAGGGTAAAATGAACATTGCACTTTTTATGGTGATTGGGTAATTCAACTTTGATATTTGGAGCTTTGATAGTACAAGGTCTGAATTTGTTTGACATAAGAGATGCACTTCCTTACGGGGCAGATTTATAGGCAAAATATGGGGCACGTGAACATATGGTCTATCCGTAAAATTAGACATTTTATGTATATATTTTTTAAAATTGGTATAATATTAACTGATGGCACCTATGCTCATAGAATATTGAATGTGTACTTGGTTGAAGGTTTGTAACGACCCAACTGGTCGTTTTGAGCATTTACGTTCCTTTCAACTATTTGAAATCTTGAATAACTTCCTACGAGGTATTATGACTTGTATGAATTGTCGGTTTTGGTTTTAAGGTATTTAGGAGTTAGCTTGGAAGAATGAATTTTCATGTTGGAAGCTTAAGTTGAAATAGTTGACCGGATACTGACTTATATGTAAACGACCTCGGATTCGAATTTTGATAATTCCAATAGCTCCGTATAGTGATTTTGGACTTAGGAGCGTGTCCGAAAAATTATTTGGAGGTCCGTAGTGGAATTAGACTTGAAATGCCGAAAGTTGAATTTTTGGGAAGTTTGACCGGGGGGTTGACTTTTTGATATCAGGGTCGAAATCCGATTATGAAAATTGGAATACCTCTATTATGTCATTTATGACTTGTGTGCAAAATTTGAGGTCAATCGGACGTGATTTGAGAGGTTCCGGAGTCGTTTATAGAAATTAGAAATTTCAAAGTTCATTTGGCTTGAATTGGGGTCTAATTCATGGTTTTAGCATTGTTTGAGGTAATTTGAGGGTTCGACTAAGTCCGTATGATGTTGTAGGACTTGTTGGTATATTTAGTTGAGGTCCTGAGGGACTCGGGTGGGTTTCGGATGGTTAACGTGTTGGATTATGGACTTGGAATTCTGCTGGAATTTTTCTGATGCACCATCTGGTTTCCTTCATCGCGTTCGCGAGTGGAGCCTCATGTTCGCGAAGAGAAATTGAGAGGCTCGCAATATTTGTTCTTCGCGTTCGCGAAGAGAAGCACGCGTTCGCGAAGGGTAGACTGGGTGTGCATCGCGCGAGAGGTGTTACGCATTCGCGAAGAAGAGAGGAAGCATCTGAGGACCCTAGGCAATTGGTCTACGCGTTCGCGTAGGGGGTGTCGCGTTCGCGTAGTGAGGGGGAACGAAGCATCACGTTTGCGATGGGTTGAATGCGTTCGCGTAGAAGGCATTGAGGCAGAGGCATTTTGTGCTTCGCGAACGCGAGGGTAATGTCGCGTTCGCGAAGGAGGAATTTGGACGGGAGCTATTTTGTGCTTCGCGAATGCGAGGCACTGACCGCGTTCACGAAGAAGAAAAGCCCGGGCAGTGAGTTTAAGTTCTGAACAGTTTTTGACGGATTTGAGCTCGGATTGAGGCGATTTTTGGGAAATTTTCAGAAAAAACAACGGGGTAAGTGTTCTTAACTCAATATTGGTTAAATTACCCGAATCCATAGTTGTTTTTAACATTTAATTGGTGAATTAAGTTGGAAAATTATGAAAACTCTCTTGGTTTAATTTGGAGATTTGAGGGTCGAGTTGATGTCGGATTTGAGTAAAATTTATATTATTGGAATCGTGGTTGAATGGGCATTAATATTTTGTAACTTTCATTGGATTCCGAGATATGGGCCCCACGGGTGATTTTTGGGGCGTAATTTCGAATTTTGTGGAAATATTATATTTTGACATGGAATTAATTCCTATAAATTTTGTGGGCTGAATCAAATTAATTGTGACTAGATTCGAGCCGTTTGGAAGTTGATACACGCAAAGTGGAATTGTTGGAGCATTGCTTAGCTTGCTCGACATTGGATTTGGATTGTTCGAGGTAAGTAACTCTTCTAATCTTTGAGTTTAGGGTATGAACCCTGAATATATGAATTTCGTGAATTGTTGGGAGGTGACGCACATACTAGGTGACGGGCGTATGGACGTGCAATATAGAAATTGTAAAATAATTATTTCTGTGAAATTTTATAGTTAAATGATCTTGGCATTTTCCAATGCGATTTTATGAGTTAAAGAAATTGAGCTGAAAAGCATATTAAAAATCATGTTGAAGCTATGTGCCAGTATTATTGGGACCCACAGAAGTCATATTGTTGTGAAATATTTAATTTAAAAATTTATACTCAGTCATATTCATTTCATTGCATATCATATTTGAGCCTCTGTTATTATTTATTGATACATCACATCATCATTTTGGGCTATTTTCATGACATTATGAGCCCATGAGAGAGAGACTGGAGAGATTGATAATTGAGGGAGGCCGAGGGCCTGATTGTAAGGATATTTTGTGGATCGGACTGCACGGCGCAGCAGGCCATGTTGGCTTTNTGAGGGAGGCCGAGGGCCTGATTGTGAGGGTATTTTTGGGATCGGGCTGCACGCCGCAGCAGGCCATGTTGGATTTATATATATATATTATATTATTATTGCATGTGAGTTGGCCGTGCGGATCTATATATTATACTATTGCACGTGAGTTGGCCGTGCGGATCTATATATTATACTATTGCATGTGAGTTGGCCATGCATCACGTGAGTTGGCCGTGCGGATCCAGATTTTATTATAGCACGTGAGATGGCCATGCGGATCCAAATATTATTATAGCACGTGAGTTATCCATGCGGATTCAGATATTATTAGAGCACGTGAGTTATCCGTGCGAATCCAGATATGATATTATAGCACATGAGTTGTCCGTGCAGCACCTGAGTTGTCCGTGCTTATAGCGCTTGGGCTGTAGGAGCCCCTTATGAGTCTGTACAACCTAAGTGAGCGCAGTCGACTATCAGCAGGGATCGGGCTGCACGCCGCAATAGGTATTGTATAACGCTGAGTGATTGAGTGTGCTGAGCACAGTGAGAGAGAATGCGAGACAATGAGATTGAGTACTCTGAGAGTGTGAGTACATGAGTGCAATCTTTGAGATACATTGCGTTGACATGCAAACATGACATACATGCATAGAGGTGTGTTTTCCTCATACTGTATGGTATCACATTATTCATGATTTCTCTCACATGTTGACAGATGGGCATAGTGATGCATTTGTTTTACACTGGTTATCTAGGAAAGAAAATGAGATATTTTAGTTATTATTGAAAGGATTTTGGAAAAATTACTGTTTTCAAACTATTCATATTTTTGGCAACTTCGGCAAACGATTTGGGTTTTCACTGATATATTTGAAAGGAAGAACTATTATTTTTGAAATCATGATTTTGCTAAGCATTTTGTCTCTGTGTTTCTTCTGGTATTATTTGCTTTATATTGTTATAAATTGTTGTGGACTAGTGGTTTTGGACTTGACCTTGGTAGAAGCTCTTCACTACTTTCAACCTACGTCTAGGTTTGTTACTTACTCAGTACATGGGGTCAGTTGTACTGATACTACAATTTTGCACATTACATGCAGATGTTGGCTGTTGTTGTTGCTGTGCTCGATAGTTACGGGACTTGAAGATGTACCTGCATTCCTGTTGTAGCTGCCTCTTATTTAGGATAGCCTTAGATCTATAAAAACTCTGTTTATGTATTATTCAAACAGACTATGTATTTATTTTATTTCCGCTTTATATACTCTATTATTAGAAACTCATGATTTGTACTACCAGTTCTTGGGGAGATGTATTGGTTTTAGATATTTTCTTTATATTAATTTCATTGGAATTGGATAGATGAAAATTGGCTTACCTAAGGGGTTGGGTTAGATGCCATCACGACTAGTGGGATTTTGGATCGTGACAAGGTGGTATCAGAGCTCTAGGTTCATAGGTTCTACAAGTCATGAGCAAGTGTCTAATAGAGTCTTGCGGATCGGTATGATGACGTCCATATTTATCTTCGAGAGGCTACTGGGCATTTAGGATATATATTTCCCATCTTTCTTTCCTTATCGTGTGGGATTGATTCAGCTTGGGACATAACTCTTTGAATTCCTTCCACGTATTCGTATGCGCACACGAGCGCTCGGTATCAGCTGTGCATCGCCGGCTTCTGATTCTA